ATATACCAATAATCATATACTTATTTTTGTTGATTGAGTATTTCATTCTTCTCATTCAGGATTGATATCAAAAGTCATGTATAGAACAGGTTTACAACCCATATTTCCAGAACAAATCTATTCGTGCAGATTGAACAAAGTATACAATTTAGTATACAGTTCACTCCATGTTGCTGACATTTTTGAGCATCAACAATGGCGCTAGAGGAAGGGCCTCATAATTTGTTTGAGGTAAATTTTCTAACTTGTGGAACAACACCAGAAATTTTCCAGATTTTATTGCAAAAAAAAAAAAGAAGAGTATGTTCAGTACAATCCAGAAATCCTTGGAGCCTTGGGCCGAACAGAGTAAACGAGTAGCCAACATCGCCTCCCCTTGGATATAATTCGGCCACGTCACCATCCCTGTTACTACCTCATCTAAAAAAGAAAAATACATTCCAGCCGAACCGAATTCCTTTCGACAAATCCACAAATTGCTAGCAAATTGGGGACCAAAATATTCAGAGCACATGGATCTTTTGGCTTTCTTCATTAATATATATACATACAACTCCCGACTGGGCCGAACCTCAGTCACCGAACAGAACCGTCCGTGGATCGAACAGTGTCATCCGCCGCCGAAACCGAATAGGACAATTCGCGGGCCGAATCAGCAACCATCCGCGGGCCGAACCGAGGGTGACCGAACTCAATCGGGACGAGCGCATATCCATTCGGTATGCTCGAACCTACGAACGAGGAGCCGCTCAATACCGACCGACGACTACGGACTACCGACCTCGGCCAGGTTGAGCCTATATGCCAAATTTTCGACAAACACGGACGAACTCACTCAGAATTCAGATTGCAGCTGGAACCGACTCCACATCACAACCACCGAAACCCGACCTCATCATCTCTGAGCCCGACTTTAAAGTTGGGCGGCCTCCTCAAGACGGGCCGACATCTCCAATCTCGACCGTCGGACCCTTCCCTCACGGGTACTCAATTCGAAGACTAGGACTGGCACGCACCCTAAACTTCGATTACTGACATGTTCCCACCGGAAAAACCGAGCAGAGCCGTGAAGAAGAGATTTGAGATAAGAGATCTGAAGGAAGATAAGAGGCATGATTCTTCAGCCCCGGATTAATCGTGAGCGTAAGTGGAGAGGGCCAGATTTTTTTATTGTCCCAGTGGAATTGAGTTAATAGGATTTGGGCATAGTGGTAAAAGTGATAAATAAGGCTTGTATAGTACATATTTAATGTAAGAGCCTCGGGCCTGATAAGGTCTTGTACATTCATTAGTAGAAAATGTAAACATAAAGGCCCTAAAGATATTGTAATAGATAGAATAGATAAGAACTAGGTCGAGTAAAACAATCAAAACTGCAAAGTCGAGGAGCTCGGCAGGAACTGGAGCAAAAGAGGAGCCGAAATCTCCAACGATAATACTCTTAAGCCTACTCTCCGCGCCGACCCAAGGTAATTCAACTCTCAATTTCATCATCAATACATACATATATATGTATAATAAAAAAAAATATTTAAGTACGTATATATACAAAAAATAAATATATATACATATATATACGTACACAAAAAGAGAGCGGAAAAAATAGAGAATACAATGAAAAAATGAGAGGATCAGTCACGACAACCGTTCAATGACGGATCCCCCAATTGCAATCGGGCCGACCACTCTGCCGTCCGAATCAATCCATCATAC